AAGTGGTTAGAAGATGGGTTTTCTTTTTTTTTTTTTTTTTTTTGGGGGGGGGGGGGGGGGGGGCTGACTTCTGAAATTTTTCCTCTAAATGAACAATACAGAGAGTGCACTGTTCATTGACCTCTGTCAATGTTCAGACCTGCATTATGATTTATGATATGATTTATTTAGATTTAGAAATACGGGTCCTTCCCTATCCAGTCCCAACATCTAATCTTGATCATTTCCATTCAAGCAGAGCCTTCGCCTATCAGACACATCCTGATTAAGATGCCACCATATCTCAGGTGTGATTTGGACTGATAAGCAGATGGAGCATTTTGATGAGCCTTTACGGTAACTCCTCACGCCTATCGGCTGGCAGATCTCCAGCTGCCCGCTTCTTCCTACTCCTGTGATGGAAGTCTGGCAGACTCTAATCAAATTGTCTGACGTTTAATTCCTCCTGACATCCGATTTGGCTCGGCTGGTCTCTCGCCGTCTCCCGGTGTTGCCGTGACGCTGTGGGCGGGTAACCCGAGCAGAGCCGTCTTTAGTGTTTCGTGGCCTCCAGAACAGATGTAGGAAGCGGGAGTCTGGCCTCTACTTGCTGCACAGCCTTGGTGGGTTTCCAGACAAATAGCAATCTCCAGTTACACCTTCTGGCATCAAAGGACACTCTGCTCTCTGCGCTACCAAATACTAAGCAGTGCTTTAGGTATTTCCAGCTCTCACTGGCACAAAAGGAACTGGCCTCCAGTACAAAACTGAGCACAAAAATGAGTCACAAAGTCATCGTGAGAGCCTCTATTTCTTCGGGCTCTGCCACTGCGGTCGAGGTAAACGGAAGCATCCGGTGAAAGGGCAGGAGTGAACGGTAGAAGGGAGCTGGGCAGGTGAAGCGAACATGGTCACATGAAACGTCACACACTCTCGGGTCTCTGAGCCCCTTGGCGCCAGTGGCTGAGATTTGCGCTGACGCCGCAGTCAGAGGGAACCTGCAACGGCCGCCCAGGGACCGGATTTGAAGCCCCAGCAACAACGTGACATGGAGCAGCAACATAACATGGGGCTACGTCAGCTTAATTTCATGGGGGGAGGGGTGTTGTGGCGCAAGCCTCTCTGTATTGCCAGTAGGCAGACTCCGATTTCCCATCACCACCTGCAGCTCAGTCACTTAATTGACTGACAAACAACACACTGCTCTGTGAGGGGTCGTCCCCCCCCCCCCCCCCCCCCCCCCACTCCTCGCTTTCCATAGTTCCTCTCTTGCCACACCCCACCACCAATGTGACCCCAACTACACTTTCCCCACGCCGTCACCTTTGCACGACCTTCAGCACGAACGCCTCTCGTGTGAACCAGCACAGCTCACTGTGGCTTTTTGCTAGGAGGCATGGAATCGCATTAAGAAGAAAGCCAAAGTCCGTGACATTATAAACATCCGAACGACACTAAAAAGCTCTTACATCGGCTGCCTGAGAAGCAGACTGAGTCTGATTACCCACCATAAAATACACCTCCAGACATTCCTGCCCCAATGGTTCAGAACAGGATTCCCATTATTTTAATATGCAATTATGAAGATTATTTTCCTGAGTTTATCAAAAAAAAATAAATGTCACAGGGCAAAAGCCCCAATATCAGCAACCCTGAGCGACCCAGAAGGTTCCGGTTTAAACAAGCAAAGACATCGTGTTTCTCAGCTGGAGCTTCCTGTTCTGCTTGTTAAAACTCCAGAGGGTCACCTGAGTCAGGCACTCAAGATGCGAGCGGCTCCAAAGACTGACAGACAGGCCTCATTTGTGTGGGGGCCTGGCTGGGGAATCCAGGCAGCCTCGGTCGTCTACAAAAAAAGCTTGACTCAAAAATGAGTGGCCACCTTTTTCTATTTTTATATATAATTTTCAAAATAAATAGTTGCCTCATAACAAAGCAGCAATGAATTTATAGACTGAGGTCTTTTGTATTTATGTATTTTGAACAGACATCATTAACTTGTACTTTTTCATTTGTACTTGTATGTATGACCTTTAATGTTTGAGCTTTTTTCTTAATCTTTTTTTTGTGCCACTTTGGGTTTGTATTGTATTTCTCCCGTCTTCAGCCAGAGAGGGAGTTAGGAAGGTGAATTATAGGGTTACTTTTGTTTTATTTGGGTTAGTTCATGTCTCCAGACAGTCACCAGCTTTTTGTTTGTTATTTTGGCAACTACATCAGCCGTAGACATACAAGGGTCATAACTGGAGATACGTGCAAGAGTAACAGACTGTAATATTTTATAAAAAAAAAAAACACAGAGATTTGTAGTTTGTGGTAAAAAAAAGGCAGTGGTCATATACACTGGGCTACCGTGACCCCCCCCCAGATCTGCTGGCAGAAGTTAATTCTTATTGAAAACAAAATGTAAAAACAAAATCTTGACAAAACTGAGTGTTCGCGTTTGGACTTTCTACAGCGATGCTACGGTTATCAGAAGACAGTTACCATTAGCAGCTAAGCAGTAACTGCTAACAAATTAGCGTTACTTTGGGCAGTTGTTTGTTCCATGCTTCTCCAGCACCCCCTAAGTAGAACGAGGCAGACAGCTTGGAGTGACAGGGAGATTGTGTGTGTGTGTGTGTGTGTGAGTGAGAGAGAGAGAGAGAGAGAGAGAGAGAGAGACAGACAGAGATTCACACGTCACATGCTTCTGGCATGAAAAAGAGCCATTTTATTTTTCCTAATCCTTGAACTGAGCTCTGATTTGGTGAAAAATTCAGTTTGAGGGAAAAAAAGAAAAACAAAACAAGACTGATAAAAATACCAGGTGGAGTGGTGGGGAGAGAGAGAGAGAGAGAGAGAGAGAGAGAGAGAGAGAGATACCCTCATAGACTGAGACAGAGACAGAGGCGGAGACTGTCTCTTGTGGCCAAAGTGCTCATTCCATCCCACCCCCTCCGCTCCCCCCCATAAGCCGCCTGCTCCTCAAAAGCTGGAGCTTGGCTGCACTTGAAGCCCAGGAGTGACACAGTTTTTAATGGAGTCTGAGAAAGCACAAATCACCCAAGTAGTTTCCCGGCAACTAGTGGGGATCCTGTGGGCGAGCTCAGCCAAAACGGCACCTCTGAGAGACGCGATTCGCTGACAGTCATCAGAAACAGGCCAGTCAATAAGCACAATGAGACGGGCAGGGGAGGATATCGATTGTGCCTTCTTGTTCTGCACAAACACCAGAAACGCTTGTGACCTCCCCCAAGCTGCCACACACACCTTTGTCCATCCTGTGCGAATTTCCAGCTGAACCCTTTCCAAAAATAAGAAAAGCAAAACCCTTGTTTCCAGCACCATTTTTTTTTTTTTTTTACACGGGCTTGTTCTTTCTCCATCCCTTCCACCATGTTGTTTCTGAACCACTCCCACTCGTTGTTATCTTGTTCTCTTTGTCTCCCTCCAGTGGCCATATGTACTCACTGCACATGCACAGGAAAAATCGCTGATCTACGAGCACACAGCTGTGGCTTCAAGTCACCTACAGCTTGTCATTCCTTATCGACAGCAAAATTCCTCATACTATAATTTTTTCATCTGTTCAACGATGACAATACAGGACTGAATCAAACTGACTTAAAAAAACCAAACTCAAATTCACTAACCCAGTCCTTCGAGAGCAGTGTTTCCAGTCCATGTTTTTGCCCCCTCCCAGCTCCTGGTGTGGACTGTCTGGCTGGGGGCTGGGAGGAAGCAAAAACATGGATCATCTGTGGATCCCCAAGGACTGGATTGAGAAACGCTGCTCTAGACACAAACACTGGCATTTGTACCCGACTTGAATAATTCAAGTCTTCCGCGTGCACTGTTGTGAAACACGTCAGACGCCAGACAAAGGTCTTATTAATGTTTTTCATGCATCAATATATGCAGAGTGCAAATAGTCCCATTTGTGACCATTCAGCTTCCTTAAACGAACAGCCATGTGCTGGAGAGCAGCTTCTCAAAGCTGTAAATTTTAGTTCCTGTGATTAAACTGTACGAAACTGGGAAGAGTGATGTAAGATTTCACCCTGAGACGCGCTTCCCTGCATACCTGGAGGTGGGGCTCAAATTACATTTCGGTTCTACATCACCAACAAAAATGGAAACCGATGCCTCAAGATTTTAAATATACAGGAGCCACTGACTGTCTTTGTTCCCCTTAACAGTTGTTGCATGTTAACTCCTTAAGTGATACCAGGACAATCACCTGGGTAAAAAAAAGGGGGGGGGGTGGAAAAGCCATTACGATTTTGCTTTGGCTGATAGCCAAATTAATTCCTGGCAGAGCTGCTGGGGACACCAGATACGGGTCTGATGAGGCATTTACCATCGACAGGTACGTAGAAGAACCCGACCTGGGGCCCACTTCCAAAAAGCACAGTTGCTAGCAATGTTAACAACGTTAGCATCTTACATAGTTGGAACAACGCTACTGAATAGATCCAACTATGTAAGTTGCTAATGGAAGGTTTTGGGAAACGTAGCCCAGGGCAAGCAAAATGCAGCAAAAAGAGCCGCTTAACTCGCTGCCGAGATGCCGGTAGCCATGCTTGGCTGAACGCCATGACTGGAATTTAGAAGACACATATGAAAGCTTTTTCATCTTCTGTCGATTTACAGGGTCTTGAGTTCCTGGCTGTCTATTTCTCAAACACTCTCTCACGGCTTGGGTCACCCTCTCCGCAAAAACACCAAAACGCCTGAACGAGAATCCACTGTGCATTGTTTCTATTTCACCTCAGGCAGAAGAGCAAAGCTGAATGATCGGATGCCTTAACAGGATTAATCATAACATGATTGCTCAGAAACCTTTGTGAAGGATTTAAGCGACACTCCCATCTCAGAGATTAAGGTTTTACCTTCGCTCGGCCCAAACTACAGCCAGCTGTTTTCCCAACAAGAGCGAGAATAAACACATTAAAAGGACACAAAGCCTTTCACATCACAATAATTATCTCTGGTCTAAATGACCTATTAGCTCCGTTTCCAATGAAGCAACATCAGCTCATTAACAGCAATTAGAAGCATGACAATTACTTTATGGCTTCATTAGCATTTGGGAACGCGGCTTTGTTTGACAGATCGTCGTAAAGTACGATCCATCGCATGCATCCCTGTACTTCCTGAATACAGGCGTTCTGTGTGGTGCTTACTCTGTAATATGACACTTTCCGTTAATGTCTTTCGCTCAGAGCGGTGAAACTGTGTTTGACTGAAGCTGTTTCAATACACACCGTCTCTGTGAATGAGCGCACAGTTAGTGCACCCAGAACACAATGATTTTAAACTCAAACCAGTATTAAAAGAATATGGAGCAGTGACGAAAAATTGTTGTTTTTAATTCACACAAAAAAAAAACCCTAAAAACTAAAAATAAACAAATTCCAAAAGTGCTGTGTATTTTCCATCAAATGCTGCTAAACTCAACCCCAGTTAATTCGATCCAAGTTGGTCTAGGGGTCACCCTATACTAGTCCTAATCAAGCTATGGGCCCAGAAACACATAATTCAAGTTTCTCAGGACAAAAGCTTCTGCCAGATAAATAAGTAAACACAGAGCTATTGAATTACAAAAGCATGCTGGCCATGTCTAATGCTCCCCCTGGTGGCCATCTGCAAGAGCAGCATCTGCCAGCATCAGCTTCAAGTCATGCCAACCACATACTGGTATACAGTAGCATAAAATATCATTCCCCCAGAGCACAATGCAACACACAAAATGGCAAGAGGTTTCCACGGTATAAAAGTGTCCCCGCCCCATCCGGCCCCATCCGGAGTCATGCTCCTTCCTACCGGTTCTCGTTGTCCAGGAATACAGAGCTGCTGCTCTCGCCGAGGGCCTCGCTGATGGGCGACAGGCAGAAGGGTGAGGAGAAGGTGTCGGAGTCGGATCCCAGGGTGCTGTCGCGGCTGACCTCGTCCGCGGACAGGTCGCAGGAGCCCTCGTCGCCCTCCTCCAGCAGCTGCGGCGGCTCGGCGCCCTGCCCCTCCAGGGTCTGCCCGTCCTCTGCACCATCCTCATCCTCGTCCTCCCCGGAAGTGGGTGGGGGCCGGGAGCGTGCACGGCGAGGCCGGCGCCGGGGGTTCCGCCGCACGGGCGAGCTCTCGGGGGTGATGTAGCGCAGCGCCTCCTCGTCCTGCCGCTGAATGCGGGAGTTGGGCACCCAGGTGAGGATCAGGGTGGTGCCCAGCTCTTCATCCTTCTCCATGTGCACACAAAGGTAACCTGGGGGAAAGGGAGGGTGAAATGAAGCAGAGCAAGGCTACTAGTGTCAGACTGGGGAGGGGGATGCTGGGTAGGCATGGGGCAAACACCTGCCCAAAGTATCACTAATTCATTAGCGACCACAGGTTAGCTGCTAACGCTAACTGTCCTTCAGTAACCTTAACGTTGCTGTGGAGGGTCAGTGTTCGTCTTACAATGACCGTCCCACTGCAGACACTTCGCTTTGTCAAGATTTTGTTTTCAATAAGAATTAAGTTCCGGCAGTAGATCTGTGGGCAGCACAGCGGCCCAGTGGATGTCTGCACTGCCTCACACCAGAGTTGGGGGCCTGAATGGTGTCTCCTCTCTGCACGTGTGGAGTTTGCATGTCCTCCAGTGTCACACAGGAGACCCACTACAGTCCATAAACATGTAGTCAGGTGAACTGACATTGAGTATAAGTGTGGGCCCTGTGATGGACTGGCATCCCATCCAGGATATTTCTCTGCATTGGGCCCGATGCTGCCTGGGACAAACTCCAGCACCCCTCCCCCTAGTCTGTACAGCTAGAAAGGGAACAGGTCTTTTTTTTTAAAGAGGCATTTTTCTTAGCTATTTTGACAGGCAGCCTTAGCTGTAGTTTTTGATTCAGGAGTTCCTTTTTAGTCCGATTACAATCATTCGATATTCTTTGTTTAACTCCGAATGCTACATTACAGAGCAGGATATTATGATTCAGCTACTATCTTAAAAGGTGAGCAGTGTAAAAAGGAGAGTTTTACATGAACCACATCATGAAGTTACTGGTTAAGAACTGAAAATTAAAGCCCATTCATCCATTTTCTATACCCGTTTGTCCTATGCGGGGTTGTGGGGGTCCAGAGCCTATCCTGAATGCTATGGGCACAAGGCAGGGACCAACCCATCACAGGGCACACTCACCATTCA